TACGTAAGAATGGACATTTTCCAAATGATTCCACTCGTAACGTTCGAAGAAGGGAAAATAGTCAGCCGGTTATCAGACTGGCATCTAACAGAGGGTGGTCCCGGTGGCACGTGTGGTGCGGCGAGTAGGACAGGGACAAAGTGGCGGCAAGGGAGAGACAGGACATGCAAACATCATATTTCGTCGGCACCGAGCAATTTCGGGGGACACGGCGTTATTGTCGCGCACGCTGCAATTATCCCGGATATCCGACGTCTGCGCGACGCCGAAATAATTACTTGGACCGCGTAACTACCGGCAGCACAATTACCGTGACAAGAGACGGTTCGCGATCCGCCCATCCGTGCCCTCTTTATACTTCGTCGAAACTCGAATCTTTCTACTGGTTCAGCAACCTTCCACTTACTATTTCACTTCGTTTCGCCTCTTCTGGATTCTCGCCTCTTCGACTGATCTTTTGTCTTCAATTATTTCCAAGACTTTTCATATTTATTTCATAATCTTGTCGTCCCATTAAATGTCTCATTAAATAACAGTACCATTTATATGACGATGCACAGAGTTGAATTTATAAAAAAAAAACTTGGTTAAAGGACAGTGAATGGAAAGTTCATCAAGTTCAAATTCCCGCGTCAAGTTCAGCGAATTCGAGCTTCCTAATTGCGGTCTCCCCTTCGACCACCCGTGTACTCGGTATCAGCCTAGCGACCCTTTCGAATGGCGTGCGGACTGGTTATGGACTGGTTAGTCAATGCAGTGGACTCTTCGGCGCCTCACGCTACCCTCGTTGCAGACTCTACGGCGTCTCTCTCGTCCTTTTTTTTTTCAAGCTCTCACGGTTTTAATAAAACGAATCACGACGATCGAGCGAATAATTCACGAGTACTACGTACATTGATCAAGATTCTACGCGATCGATTCCTCCTCAGCTCGTCGCCGTTCGATTCCTACGCGTGCGAATCGACGTACTAATTTATTTAATTCACTGTTTTTTTTTTTAATAATTCATTTGTTTTTTTTCTCATTTATTTGGCTCGTACGCAGAAGGCAGTGTCACGAAATCGATGTGCTACGCGGAAATTACCCACGACCTATTATTTTATCATTCGTTTCCCCTACGAGCAACGATCCATCCCCACTGGTTCTACCCTCTGGATAATGGTTGACCAGAACCGTAGGCCTTTTCGAGCTCGTGTCACGACACGATCTGGTCACGCATGCCGCTTGTTTGTTGAAAACACGACGCGCCGTGAAAAATTAATCTTTCCAGTAAAAACGTAATCTATGGCCGAAGACTCAGAAAGATATGTTTGAGAGATTTATCGTTGGTCGACAGCAGTACTGCTTTTTATTTCTTTGACACTAGAAAGACTGAAACTTAATATATACCTATATNAAATCTTAAATAAATATTTATCTTAAATAAAAATTTGCAACTGGTTCGCACGTAGCGTTCGATGTTTGCCGATTAAAATTCATGAAATTCGGGAATTCGTGAAAGCTGTTACTTAAATACGCGGGATTAGAGAATCGTCAAGCTGGCTTCGCGGAACGCATGAAAAATTGAAGCTACCCGTTAGTCTTCTTTAACGAAGCGATCGTTAGCCAGCGGTAACTGCGTATACTCTGTTGTTCGTGTCCGTTTTTCGTGACGTCGTGTTTCGTGCCTCGTGATTCTTTAACGAGCCGCGAACGAACCAGCAGCGTTCCTCTTCCGTCGCCTCTTTCACGTCACCGCAATGAAATCGAAACGACGAATCGCGCGCGCAAGGACCTTCTCTCTCTCCTGGTCACCCTTCGGCTCACGAATCGGCCACCGCTAAATTATTAACGTCGCGTGCTGCTCGGCTCCCCTATCGATTCGTCCTGTCCGCTCGTTCCTCTCTCACGACCGTCCGACGCTTCTTTATCCTTTTTATTTCTGGGAGCAGTCGTAAAAATTTCACCGCCCCCGTTATACAGCAAAATTGCTAATCTTAACATTGAAACAAATTCATTCTGTAACGTAGTTAAATTGTAATTTATACAATTTCATAGAAATCATGTGTTTTAGCTTTAAATCTGAACGACTTGAAGAAACGTAAAGTAGGTCTCTTCTGATTTATCTAATGGGAGACTCAAGTGATTGAAAATTCTTTGTAACGAGCTATCCAAATAGTACGTTATATATATAGATATCGTTTGCGTTTACTTTTTGTTCGTTTCCACGGGAATTGAAATCGTTTGATCGAATGGCTGGCCGATGGATCACGCGAGACGCCGGGAATTGATCGAGTTATCGCGTGGACAAAAATGTTTCCGGCTGTTCGACAGGCCAGGAAATTGCTCCCATGTTTTTAGGGAAAAATCTAAACGGTGCTACCGCGGCTAGTAAACAACATTGTCAAAAGGAACGAATTCACCGCGAAAGAGACTGGCTGTACATTAATATTCATCGTTCCTCCAGCACGATGGGTAGGAGGGGGAAAAAAAAAACAAGAATAAAAACGTACCAGTGTTCCCGGAGTACTTTGAACCTCGGCGAACGACTTTGAGGAAATAGTTTCCAACCGTGTCACAAAACCAATAAATTCCACTGCTTTTCTTTCTGCTTCCGGTCGAGCGCTATAAAAGTATTTGTTTTATCAGCATTGCCTTTTTTTTTCACTGCGAAACATGATAAATATCTCCGAGTGAATTTTCTCTTCGTTAAGAGGATCTTGAAGTTTGATATCAATTTCTCGTAGTTATTCACTCACTGGAAATTCATTTCAGCATTTTCAAGCGATTATTCTGTTCATTAAAACTACGTTCG